TAGTACAGCTGTTGAGGTGAATAGCATTGGTTATACAATCTACAAGCTCACTTTCGCGGAAAGTCACTAGCAACATTGAACATGGGATACTCGAAAAAGAATGACAACGTTGGACTGGTTTGCAGGGAAAGAAGATGGTATGTTCTGGTCCGCTTCTCAGGTGATACAACCAGATACATAATTGCAGAATACCTTGGTGTTCGGACTGGCATACACGTCAATCAACCCACATGACTGTAGTGTATGATATGTCGTATCGTATGGAGTACGGCGAACAGCAAAATGAATGGTTCGATATTCTGGCTTCTTCAATGTCTTTATTTATAATTATATAAGCACAAAGGGCTTGTAGCTCAGTGGTAGTAGCGCCCGCTTTGCATGCGGGAGGTCAGGGGTTCAATCCCCCTCGAGTCCACGCTTAAATAGCAACTTTTTTTTGTCTTTTTTGGTGTCCACCACTTGACGATATAAAGAAGAACAATGAACGACGAGCAAGTCAACACAGCCCAAGTAAGGTAGGTAGCCTGCGGAGTTCTGTGTACGCGTGAACCGATATCAGCCTTTCGTTACAGATTTTGTGCAATTTGAAGAAGCTCAACCCCCGGGCCGTCTATGTATATAGCATTAGTGCTTCATCCAAGTGTCGATGTGTCGCCCTAGAAATATGCAGCAAGCGGCCCTACTCTGGATGCTGAATGACATCCTACTGAAGAACGAGACGAAAGGGGGCGAGGCGAAGTGTTGCGGCAATAAATAAAAGTGCAAGCATGATAAAAAGACAAAAAAAAGTTGCTATTTAAGCGTGGACTCGAGGGGGATTGAACCCCTGACCTCCCGCATGCAAAGCGGGCGCTACTACCACTGAGCTACAAGCCCTGTTGACGCTTCTACTAGAGCAAAATAGACACTGTGACGGCGTTGACAATTTGATTCTTCACTTCTATATCTCCAATCTGTTTAAAAGAGATATCCCCTTCTTGCTTTCATACCGGTAAAATTGTTTGGCAATTCTGCAGTATGTATTGAATGATGTCCTCTCCTCGGCAGATTGCCGCCCGGTGCCAGTAGTCAAGAGGAGGTATGTTCATGCGCAGTGATATATTTCTAGTATATTTCAAAGCACCGGTCCGTAACCAGGGAATATATAACGATCAAACCGTCAGTATATGCCCATCGCTGGGATATTAAGTTGAATTAGAATCTAGGCAACCTTACCGCACCCAAGAAACTTCATAGATACAAGAAAAGATAAAAGTTTCTATCAAGACAACATAATATTCTAGCTGTCTTCCCAGCATAGACATCCACAAAGCGTCTAATCCACATCGACCAAACGAGTTTATAATACCTTAGGAATAGACCTAAGCTGAACCTAGGCTTACCGTTCACTGAGAAATATCCATGAAATCTAGTTGAGTCACAGGCCATAAGGTCTGTACCCAGGATGGACTGTATGACCACAACTCGTGCCCATGACAACACCCCGATCTGGACTGAGCATAGGTATATTTAGGTGCACACCATAGCAGTCACAGCCAAACGAACTTGCTACAGACACAGAGTAAAAGATGAAGTGTGATGGGCCACCATATGCCCTGAAGCATGTCGATGACTGCACCAAGGGATTCTCGTGGTACCCCATTGTTACGAGCATTAGATATGAGAGCTTCTAAGCAGTAGCTTAGGCAAGGCACAGAGGTTACCCGGCCATATAGGATGGGGAGAGCGCTGGTTAATGGCTACTAGGCGATGTGGAATTATCATATATTCCCAGGGCAGGAACGGATTCCCAAATGATAGATCGACGTCGATTTGTATACCATACCGCACTTAGGTACAACCCGCTAAGTTTGAACTCCAATCTCCAAGCTTGGATCATCTAAGGCAACGCCAATTATTTACCGGTAATAAGGATCGAAAAATCTACAATGAAAAGAGGGCCCTCGGTCCTACAAGCTCATACCTGCGCCCACAGAGGCTGTGGAAGAGCATCGCCTGGTTGGATCATCGCCTCCTGATGGCAAGCAGGCTGGGTTACAAGCCCAGCGCGACTTCCCGGAGCCGGAGGATAGAACCCAACGTATGCCTCGCGGCGGGCGGGTTCCCCCACAGTGACGGACCACGTATGTAAGCCGTAGTATGAAGCAATGGAGTGGACGAGCCAGCGACTAACATAATGGACGGGTAAGCGTTGGCCCAGAAGTGCAAGAGCAAAAGGTAAAACGTACCCAAATCCAGAGGCCCGATCATCTACTAGGCTCTCAAAGACTAACTTCTCCCCATCCCGTTCTCTATTGGCATGCATAGCCTCCCGCATTTGCTGCAGCTTTTGCTTGCGTTCCGGGGAGTCGTGCATTTGTCCATTTCTTCCCACAAATACAACCTCGTCCTCGGAATCCTCGTCAGACGATACTGGCGCGTCTGCCAGGCCATCCCTCTGAAGCAAGAGTTGCTTCTCGCCCCATCTCTGGATGAACTGTCGGATATCCTCCTCAATATCCTGAAGCATACCCCGTGCAGCACGCGCATGCTTCAGCTTGAGGCGGAGATCCTTCGGAACACGATGCTTCTCACCCTTTGTGCCCTTTGCGGTCTGCTTCGATGAGGTGTGATCTATGTGCTTGTAATGGACGTCCCAGAGAGGAGCGAGGTAGTACGGCATCGGGTCATGTCGAGTGTACGTTGGCTCCACGGCCCAGTCCCTGGAAGATGGTGGTTCGGCCCAAGGATTGTTCAGGAGGCGATCTTTTGTAAAAGGGCCCGTCAGTACAACATTGTCGAAGACACTCGCCACCCGGGATCCGAGGTGCATATAAAGTCGCGTAGAGCAACTCTTAAAAACCGCAGTCGGTCAAGACGTACCATTCTCCCAGCGTTGCCTGCGACGACTTCCATCCTTGCCCTTCAACAACGCCTCGCGCCTCTTCAGACTATCACGACGGAGTGGTTCTCGACGCCGGAAACTGACCGAAGGGACCTGCGGTGCCTGGGTGGAAGTCTGACCTAAGAGTTTGACCCTCGGAGCAGATGTAGTCCCCGTGCTGGGGACTGGGTCATCCAGTGGGATTGAAAGTGTAACCGTGGTCCCTCGCAAGGCGCCGCGGGCGGAAGGGGACTCGGGACCAGCACAATGCTGGTCGGCCGCGGGAACGGAATCCGAGATGGTCAGGCTTTCCAGATGCGCAGCTGCCTGTTCAGACCAAGCTGATATTGCCCGGGTTTGCTGCGGGGACAAAGTTCCCTGGGCATTCGATTGAGGGCGCAATGTCGGGTGGATGGCCATCGCGCACGAGACAGACCTCGGTAGGACCGGTTGGAGTCTGGAGGGGAGGACGATAAGTCGTGGATATGTCGGTGGAAAAAAGACACGAGGAGGGTAACGCGATTCCTATAGAGTCTACCTCTCGTATATACTGCTTCTATAAGCGGAGTTGAGAAGGAGCGAAAAGGAGGAGAGGGCGGGGGAGTTTAAGGCCAGAGAAGGAGATAAGAGAGATACGGACCTGGATCGTTCGCGCTGGCGTCCCGGTCGCGTCCGGCGATCCTGGATTATTACGGGTTGAGTCACGATGGGGCACGAGCCCTGAGAACTGGACCTAATTGGGTAAGAGCCTCAAGCCCTAGCCCTAGAGAACTCTAAGGTTTCCCAATCAGGATTTCTGGGACGACACGAGTCAGCGTGATTCATTCATGATTGAATGTGAGTCGTATTATGGAGTCAACCTTGGTTCGGTCCCTATACGGGACCGTAATACATTCATTACAGTTGTACTATTTTGAGGAACCAATTTTGGCGAGTCAATCCAATCATTATCACAATTGCGGTGTGCAATGTGGTACGTAGACAGCGCTTCAACTACAAAGCTGACCGGTTTGGTCAGTATACTCAGGTATACCTGAAAGTCCCCTTACTGCTAACATTATGTTGACTGAACGGACGAATGCTGATATGATGCCCGGTTCCATGCTTCCCCCAAATAAAATCAGACCTGTCAACGGGGCACGAACCACTCCTGTCTTTGGAGGTGGGACTACGCAGTCCAGGGCGCTATTCGACGTTCTTCCAAGCTCGGAGGCTGCAGGTACAACTCCTTCAGAACAGGAGACAAATGAGACAGCTCCAAGTGAAAGCCCCATTAAACGGTTGCCTGATCTGAAAGAGAGCTTGTGAACGAATCAAAATATCTAGTATTTCTATCTTGAAAGGTTGTTTTTTCTTCCTTCCTTCCTTCCTTTCTACCTCACTGCCTTTCTTTTATTTCGAGCAATTGAGCTTCTTCATATGAATGTCAAAAGTCAAGACCAGACAAGACATAGTGGATAGTTAGTTACTGGGCGGAGTTGACGGGGGCCGACTGCGTGCCGCCACGACAAGCTCCTGTTATTTCCGACGCGGTCGCAACGCGGGGTGAATCAAAAGATTATTAATAGCGTTCGGGTCTTGGCTGAACAGGGCAATGCAAGTTGTTGTTTGTATGCGACATGGCTAGAGGAGAACTGGACTAGAACGAACGAGCAAACGAGGCATGGTCACCCAATGATCTCAAAGATGCCATTAAGTGTCTTGTTTGTACGTCGTGACGAAGGTCAGGACGGATACTACCTTGCAGTTCGCGGTTTAGAGTACGGAGTAGAATATTGGTAAATAAATCATAAATCATCCAGCTTAATTCTGGCATGGCTTTTGGACCCTCCTCTGCCCAGTGTCCAGTCTCCACCGCAGCGGCTAGTGTGCCTGCGCCTTCTGTCATTAAGTTTGGAGAGTCTCAATTTAGGTGCCCTACTTTTTGTGCTACTACCTAGTACTACCTTACCGGGCCTTATAAGTATTCTACGATGTCACCCCCAAACGTATCTCTGACGCATGAAAGATCCGAGCTAAGCTATCAAACCCCGTTTCCACCCCCCCCGTCATCATTGCTGTTATTCGGCATTTATAGGCAGTAGTCAGCAGCGCGTGACTTGCACTCTGCTCCTGCTTATCATTTCCCCATTTCTCCAACGCCTGCACTCGATCGATCATTTACATCACTGCTGGAGAGAGAGCGGGTACCCCCTTCACTGTCCCTCGAATACTCCTCTGAATACATATTCTCTCCCGTCCCTTCCTTTTTCTCTAGTGATTCAGTCTTTAATTCCCTAACAATCACGCGCCCTCCTCCTGTATCGACGGTCATTTCATTGTGACGATTTCTTCGCAATCAGTATGAAGATCCGAGCAGCTCTTGCGCTGAGCGCAACGGCATCCGCAGGCGTTCTCGCCGCCGTAATCCCACAGCAGGCACTGTTGAATAACCCACAAATCCATTACGAAAATACAAAATACCTTATAGAGTTGGCCCCGTATCAAACAAGATGGGTGACGGAAGAAGAAAAATGGGCTTTGAAATTGGTATATCTCCACGATTCGGTTCTGCGTTGTGGTCGGTTCGGTTAACACTGGCTTAGGATGGCGTGAATTTCATTGACATCACCGAGGAGCGAAACCCCGGGTTTTACCCCACACTGCACCAGGCTAGTAACGTCCGGTATCCGACGAAGATGGATCATGTCGATGAGGTTGTCGGCTTGACCCGCGGCCTCACCAAGGCCAACATGGAGCGGGATCTGGAGAAGTTCACCTCCTTCCATACCCGCTACTACAAGTCCCAGACCGGAATCGAATCGGCGACGTGGCTCTACAATCAGGTTCAGACGGTGATCGAAGAATCTGGGGCAGCGGAACATGGCGCGACCGTGGATCGGTTCGCCCATCCGTGGGGCCAGTTTAGCGTTATCGCTCGCATTCCAGGCAAATCGAACAAGACGATCGTATTAGGCGCCCACCAAGACAGTATTAACTTGTTCCTCCCGTCTATTCTGGCTGCCCCGGGCGCGATGACGACGGCAGTGGAACAGTCACGATCTTGGAGGCGTTGCGTGGTCTGCTGCAGTCAGACACCGTGGCCCAAGGTAAGGCGCCGAATACGATCGAGTTTCACTGGTACTCGGCAGAGGAAGGTGGCATGCTAGGCTCCCAAGCGATCTTCTCTCAATACAAGCAAGAAAGACGCGACATCAAGGCTATGCTCCAGCAGGACATGACCGGTTACATCCAGGGGGCTTTGAATGCTGGTCGTAAAGAAGCCGTGGGCATCATGATCGACTATGTCGATCGAGGTCTGACCCAATTTCTTAAAGACGTGGTCACTGCCGTAAGCCCCTCTCATCCCCCCCCTTCCACTCATACGGCCTCGCTGACAGTGTCTCCCAGTATTGCAATGTGGGGTATCTTGAGACGAAATGTGGCTACGCTTGCTCCGACCACACATCAGCAAGTAAATATGGCTACCCCTCCGCCATGGCTACTGAGGCTGAGATGGAGAACACCAACAAGAGGATCCACACGACGGATGACCGGATTAAATACCTGAGCTTTGACCATATGTTGGAACACGCGAAGTTAACTCTTGGCTTTGCTTATGAGTTAGCATTTGCTTCGTTTTAAGGTTGGGCAGCGTCTCTAATTCTTAATCTTGGTTATGAATCACGACTTATCTCTAACAGCCCATGAGTGTAGTAGCCTTAGAAAATCGATCTTTATCTACTTAGTAAACTACCTTCAGGATTAGTCAATGATTGGTGGCGAGATATATAGCAAGTTGGGACCATGCATTCCAAGAATGGATTCCGGGTTAATTCTCCAACATACTCATTCTGGACACTACTAGTAGTAGGCAGTCCTCATGTTTAACATGCGACTGAATGCCAACTCCAGAAACGCAAGGGTTTGTCACATGTCCCAATCCACGTTCGTTCTTCCCTTCCCATTGCAATACGAGACCACCATTGAAACATGCGTATCCTACATGAATGAACCCGAGAGGCATCATTGCAATCAAATCATTTCTCATCATGGTATCTTCCATCATCATCATCGTCATCATCGTAACTACTGTGCAGAATCATATAACAGACACCACTATCAGCATTTTTGAAGATAGATCGTCCAAGTGAAAATCTGAGGTATGTAGCTTAGTGCTGAAACTATTGGAAAATCCATGATTTCACAGGGTTTTCCACCCTGCTGTATTGGATAATTTTTATAGCATTGTTATACCGGATATCTTATTACTCTTTACCGCCAGCTTTCTCCATTAACCATTTCACGATGTGGTCTATCGTTGGATGATTCCAGGTAAGGTTTGGCGGGACTAACACCCCCAGACTCTTCTGCAATCGCCCACGTAAATGGACGGTCATTACGCTGTCCATTCCCATATTGCTCAGGAGCTCCTGGCTGGCCACTTCGTCGATTTCCATCTGCAGCACGCTCGCGACACATTCCCGCACCTGTCTTGTAAGAGAATCGAACCGGTCTGCAGGAGTCCGAAGCGGAGTGAGTGAATCACCGGAAGCACTCAACAGAGGGCTTGGTGGTGGAGTGAGGATCGGGGAGACTTTCTGGATAGCAATGTCGATAAGCAGTGGACTGGGAAGTGGTTCGTGCTTCTCCAATGCACGGCTCCGGAGTACCACAGCGTGATCGACGTCGTATTTGGAGACGTGCATCCAGGCCTGGAACGCCTCGTCCTGTGAAATGTCTGTGATTCCCTTGGTGGCCAGCTCTGCCTTGACGAACTCGGAGCCAGCCACCATGCCTATCTCGCGCCAGCTCGTCCACTGCATGGCGACAGTGTTATCCCCCTGAGAGCGACGATAAGTTGCGAGAGCATCGAGAAATGCATTGCCGGATGCATACGACGCTTGCCCAGGAAACCCAAAGAATTGGCCACACGAAGAGAACAAGACCATGAAATCTACTGTTTTCGGCGGAAAGAGCATGTTTAAGGTGAGTGAACCTGCAATTTTTGGTGCGAGGACACGTTCGAAGGCGTCTGGAGTGACAGACAGGACATTTTCATTGTGTAGAACTCCGGCTGCGTGGACGACTCCTTGAATGGGAGGAAGGCACAGGTCATCGATGCGACTGGATAGCTGCGAGGCTGCGTTATGAGACGATATGTCGACGGCGATCGCCTGAATCGTGGCTCCATGAGACTCCATTGAAAGGATCTTTTTGATTGCCGATGCCCATGGCGAGGCCGAGTGGACAAGAGCGGCCCAGTCCTTCCGGCGGGGGAGTGCACGACGAGAGACTAGGATGATTCGGCGTGCCCCTTTCTGGACGAGAAAGTCTGCTGTTGCTAGGCCTAAGTCTCCCAGACCGCCAGTGATCAAATAGGTTCCAGAAGGACGAGGAAGGAGCGAGTTCTGTCCTGAAGGTGGCAATGCTTTGGTGCGTGGTAATGGCCGTAGACGTGCAACACGTGGAATACCGTCTGAGATCCGGATGATGTCGCCATTATGGACATATTTCATAATTGCCAATGGGAACACTGGCGTTTCCAGATCAATTAGGGCTCCCCAATTGTCAGGCACCTCCGATGAAATGATGCGTGAGAGCCCGTGTAAAGGTGCCTGGGCCAATGAGGTGGCTGTTTCAGCCTTTGCCACACGCTGCGTGAGTACAAAGACCCTGGTTGAAAATGCGGAAGAGGAGATAAATTTCATAATATTCACAAGATCAGAGGCATATTCCCGAGAGGCAGATGTGATACTATCAGGACTGGACACACACCCTGGGATATAGGTAATTATCGTGTCCTTTTGATGCAAGACGTTTTCATTCTCTGCCAGTTTGACCAATCCTTCTGGAGAGGTCAATATGATCACTGTTTGTGTGTCCCGATTTATAGAAGCCGCATACTCATTGACCAGACCCTCGTCTCTTGAGATGAGAATGACATGCCTGATCGCCAGCGGGCTCTCACTATAAGTTGCTGGTGGCCACGCCAACTGATGCACAAGGCCTTCAAGACTGCCTCTGTCTTCGGGCGTGCCGTCAATCTCAGAAAATCTCATCGAGTTTACCTGAAGAAGGACAGTCCCGTCCTCATTGCAGATACTGATATGTGCTGCATAATCGCTGTCCGTGTCTTTCTTGAGATATAACCAGGCTATTTTAGGAGGTGGCTGCTCGACTAGGATTTCGACCTCCTTGACGTGGGCTGGCATTCGAAGGCGAGGGTTGTCGAAGAATAGCGTTGAAGCCACTGATGTTGCCGAATCTAAAATTGGTGCCCATGAACTTTTGTTCCAGGGTAAATCGCCACTGCCATTGTTCGGACTCACATCTACCTGGGCGACCATCTCACCCAAATTACCATGATGCTCGGTGACGACCCATGGGAAGCCCATGGCTGAGACCCCGACAGAAGCTAGGTAGTCAATGCTGAAGTTATCTTCTAGCTTGTTGTTTATACGGGATTTGACTGCCTCGATGTCGACTTTCCTGGTGGTCGGTTGTTCATTCTGTTCTACAGCCCAGCAGCTGGTCGTGTGCGTTAGCCAGCCGCTGTCGCCTTCGGTGCCGTTGCCTTTAATAAGGCGGGAACATAGTCGGGACTGATTCGACTGGACAACAAATTGAACCTCACGGGGCTCACCAGTAGCAACAGGTACACGCAAACAAAAGTTATACAACACTTTGGCCCCAGTCCCTTGAAGAAAGGTGTTCACCAGGACTGCGGCCGGGATAATCTCACAGCCATGCACGGGATGGCTGCCTGGAAATGGCTTTGTCTGTTCGTCAATCCTGGTTTCGTAGATGATAGTATTGTCATCCGCGACGCTCAGTCGATGGCCGAGCAGATTATGTTTGTCGACGTCATGCATTCTGGTAGGTTGTTCAGACCAGGTATTGACCTGCCTCCATATTGGTCGGTGGTTCCAGGTGGTTGTAGGTACATTGGGGGCCCAAGCACCTTGCATATACTGATTCCAGTCGATTTTGGCCCCTTGGCAGTGAAGCTGAGCCATGCTATAAAGGATGGTTCTCTCTGCTGGTGTGTCACGCAACATGGTGTTTGTAACGGTATAGTCCTCAACGCCAATATTGAGTAAGGTCTCCTCAATCGAATGGGAGACTATACAGTGCGAGGAAACCTCCAAGAAGAGTCTCATCCCATCCTCTGCGGCCGCAGCTATAGCTGAGGTTAGCTGCACTGGATTGACCATGTTATCCAACCAATAACGGATACCGCGATCCATCGTGCTGCGCGGATCACTTGTTGAGGTAGAATAGATCGCTACCTTTGACTGCGAGGGAGAAACACAGCCATCAAGGGCTTCTGCAAGAGGATCCATAAGCTCACATAACATTGGGTGGTGAAACGCAATATCGGTATCCACGCGGAATGTTTTGACACCTTTGTTGTTCAGATTCAGAGCGAAAGCCTCGATCTCCTCCATTGGCCCTGAGACAACACACGAAGATGAAGATGAGTTGATTGCCGCCACAAGGTTATTGACATGCTGGGTGCTGATCTCACTTGTCACCTGTTCAAAGGGGGCGCGAACCAAAACCATGGCTCCAGTTCCCATGAAACGACGGTAGAGCTTTGCACGTCGAGTGACAATGAGGGCACCTTCAACTGGAGTGATGCAACCTGCAGCGACTGACGCTGCGATCTCCCCAACCGAATGGCCTATGACTGCACTGCAACTCACACCTAGGGAACGTAGCACCTCACTTAGTCCTATTTGCATGAGGTAGGTCAAAACTTGAACTTGGTCCGAGCCATTAAGCACTCCCATCTCCATGGCCTGAATGGCTGAAAACCCCATTTCCTCCTGTATGAGTGTCTCGACCGATTCAATAACAGCCCTAAAGACAGGATATTGAAGGAGGTCCTTGGCCATATCTGTCCACTGGGCGCCGTGGCCTGAGAACACCCACACCACAGGTTGGTCATCGCCTTCTGGTAATCTACCAGACGTGGTCCACTTTGTAGGTGTCTGGCGGGCAAACGCATTCAGCTTCCCGGCTGCATCATCATGGCTTTCAACGACAAATGCTGCCCGATACCTAAGATGACTTCGACGGCTTCCCAAGGTGGCTGCCACAGACCTGAGATCATTTAGCTTTCCGACGGTGGACATCCACTCAGCTTGTGTGGCTGCCTGGACTTCAAGTGATCTTCTCTGCGGTGCTGAGAGGAGAAGAACCTGAGTCCCCTTCGGCCATTGTTCCTTTGAGTCGATAGGTGGATCTGCTTGGATATACTGCTCAATGATCCCGTGAGAGACCGTACCGCCGTATCCATAGGAACATACACCGGCGCGGCGTGGATTTCCAGAGCTTGGCCAGTCTTCAACATCTTGCACCACCCGTACCCCGTCGCTCCAGTCCACTCGGGTGCTTAGTGTCTTCAGATTGGCTTGAGGGGGTAGGATACCTTTCTGTACAGACATAACCGCCTTAATGAACCCAACAGCACCTGCGCCTGCTTCAAGATGCCCAACGTTTGGTTTCACAGACCCGATGTAACATGGCTTATCTGGACTTCTACCCTTTCCATAAACAGCTGAGATTGCAGAAACTTCGGTTGGATCTCCCAATGGCGTTGAAGTTGCATGGGCTTCCACGTAATCGATGGTTGACGCGTCAATTCGAGCTACGTCTAGTGCCTTCCTCGCTACCAGCTCTTGCGCCTTCTGATTTGGGGCCATGATTCCATTTGTGCGCCCATCCTGAGCAATCGCTGTCCCTTTCAGGGCAGCCAGGATGTGATCACGGTCCTTGACAGCTTCTGCCATATTTTTAAGAATAACCACTGCGGCTCCTTCACCGCGACCGTAACCGCTTGCTGCGTCATCAAACGAGTGGCAACGGCCATCGGAGGATAACGCACCGGCTTTGTCAAGTACACTTGTTAAACCTGGACCGAGAATAGCGTTTACTCCTCCTACAATGGCGACCTTGGACTCTCCACTCAGGATTGCCTGTCTTCCCAAATGGATTGCGACCAGTGAAGATGCGCAAGCAGCATCTACTGCAGTACTTGGACCCACCAGGTTCAGGTGGTAAGATATTCGGTTGGCAACGCCACAATAAGCGGTCCCTATCCCCATCCACGGTTCCACGTTGGGCAAGTCTTGTAGGAGCAGCTTTCCATAATCATCAGAATTCACGCCCATGAAGACAGCCGTGTCGGACCCGGACAGGCTGCTCAACGGAATGCCTGCATTCTCCAACGCCTCCCACGTTACTTCTAATGCAAGGCGCTGTTGGGGATCCATCTGCTCTGCCTCCTTGGGCGAAATGCCGAAAAAGCTTGCATCAAAGTTCTCTAGATTCTCCACGAAATAGCCCCGCCGGGGCACTTTACCGATACTCCTTGCGTTATGTGGGTTACGCTGGTATAGCTCCCACCGCAGGCTAGGTATCTCACTCGAGGCGTCGACTTTTTGGAGGATTGACCGCCACAGTTCTTCAGGGGTGTTATTGTTCCCAGGTAGACGACATCCCATACCCACCACCGCGACATCATGTGAAATATCCTGGAACATATTAGCACTCCAATCCCTGATATGACCCGTTTATTCGACGGGAAGGGGTTCTTACGTTGTCCTCCATCTCGACTCACGTCATACAGCTCAGAAACAAAAGGAACGTTGCGAACTTCAACCAACCAAATATATATAGTGATTTCCTGGGCTGATGCTAGTGTTTGTTGAAATGTATTGGCCCTAGGTGATGGACGGGGTATTGATGAGTGTAAGGAGTGTTGGGTCAGGGGCGTGGAACTCTCCTTGCAACATTATATATATGGTGTAAGCCTTGACCGAGTCGTGTGCCTTGAAAGTCCCACACTGCTTGTAGAGGGACACAGCTCCACAGCGCAAGAGATTTAACGGCGCCCGATCTACGAAATCTTGCCATATGAGTCCCTTGCATCGTTACGCTGCCACCTCCTTGCCGCCTGGCGCGAGAATATTTACGAATTACGCTTAAAGTTTATCCTAAAGTTCGCATGATCTAGAATCCTGGAAGCAGGGCGGGTCTTCCCAGCGTGAAGGAAAATCCATTATGCACTGGAATGCAGCTGGAGTTGCTCAGACACATGCTCAATGGATATTAGAGCGATTGGTTTATCGTGATCTAGGTCACATGCACTATTAGCTGGAAACCGACCGAAAGCCGCGAGTACGGATCCATCCCGAGGCCCACCACAACCTGGTTTACTCCCTTGATAGTACGCCACCGACGGTTAGACATACTGCTCCGACACTTACCCAGGCGAGCAAAGCGGCTAGTGAGAAGTTCCCTTTTATGGCTGCTTCCCGTGGTCGCTGACTCGCCTCTTGTTCGATGCTGCAGGGCGATAGAAAGGAACCAAGGAACTAAAAGACAAGGCCTGGCAGATGTGAGGTGCCCTTCATGTAGCTCAAGTAACAGTACTGCCCATGACATGTCCCGGTCACGATCACGATCGGCTTATCTGACAGCTGTGCATCATTGAAGTACATGGTTCATTGGGGTTGCAAAACTCATGCCCCATGAATACGTGTCAGTCCGCCATAGATCCACACCAAAGGCTGAGGTGGAGGAGCAGTGGTACGACTGTCACGCGAATGGATCCCCTAACATCGTCTGTATACCCAGGAAAGGATACCATCGGCCTAGTTCGGATTCAGATGGCCATCCTAATTGCCTCAAACAACCCATATCTGCCATGATCTCCATTGAGCCGGCTGCGAAAGGGGGAAGCGCTGAGATGGTTTGCAAGTCATCAGCGTGGAGCATCCAGTGGAGACAACCTAGCAGATGCATCAGTACGTGGAAATAGACGGAAATTCTGAATCCTTGAGGGTACTTTGCACTCGAACTCTATGCTAGGCCGAAGCCGCATAATCCTTTCTTTGTTGCGTATGCGGGCAGTCGCTTTAGATCAGGCAGCAAAAGGCGATGGACGATGTATTCATCGTGTAAAATGAAACACAGAAAACAAAAGACGATGGCGGAAGGCAGGGGCAGATACTAAAAAAGGGAAAATAAAGACCGCCGGGAAACAAAGAATAGGCACGGACCACCTATAGTGAGGCACTGATAAGTCGATTTTCGTCTATGCACCGAGAACCGACTTCGTACTTTAGGAACTCTACTTGGCTAAATATTTGTGGGATCTTTTACCGGATCATGCAGCGCAACAGGAGCAATGCAGGCTTCGTGTATAATGAGGCATCTGGATCACTAGTTCGATCAAGAGAAGAGTGTCCACTACCACTAGTACGAAGTACGGGGGTCGTTAGGTTATGCATGGGTCATGTGCGCCTGCGGCCTTCGATGAACTCTGGACTTCGTTCCTTGTTCTGGTCTGCTTTTGCCTCAACCTTTTAAACTTTGTAACTACCGCATTATGATGACGGACCTATTTCTAAGGATGGCTATTCTGCCATCAGAACTTTGCGTTTCCCGCCTGTTGCCTTGTAGGAAGGAACTGCATCCAGGATCAACAGTGAGCCTATCTTCTGGACTCCTAAATGACCTGCTAAACCGACTTTAATAAGTCCTTAGGGGCCAACGCACTCAACGCGATTATATCCTCCCGACCCAGCGTGATGTTAATATTTCTCGGATTGCTATGCCTCTACACCGGCCTCTATGTGGCCCGGACGTATTGGAGATTAAGGCACTTCCCCGGTCCGCTTGTAGCGCGGTTTACGGACCTAGGAAGGCTCTGGTGGGTGAAAACTTCTCGCTCGCACCATCACCATATGGGTTTACACCGTCGCTATGGCCATTATGTTCGGTTAGGGCCAAATATGATATCTATCTCGGACCCGGATGCCATTTCACTGGTATATCCGATTCGCCCGGGGATTCCAAAGGTGAGTCAGACGCAAGACACCTGGCCCATTGTATCAAGCGATGACATCTGTGCTGACGTGGATGGGTCTGTCAAGAGTGATTTTTATCGGTCAATGATGCCTTATACCAGGAAAGGCCGCTCATTGCCGCTCGTATTCAACACCCGGGATGAAGCCCTTCATAAGAGACTCAAGACTCCTATTGCACACCTGTACTCCTTGTCGAATATCCTGACATTCGAGACGTTTGTTGACCAAGTTCTTGAAATTTTGTTTCGCCAGCTTGAAGAACGATTTGTTCCCGGTCAGGTGGCATTCGATCTCGGAAACTGGCTGCAGTACTTTGCATTTGACGTGATGGGGACCATGTCCTTCTCGAGGCGATATGGATTTTTGGAGAAGGGGCGAGACGACACGGGTCTGCTTTCGGCTATCTGGGCTTTTATGAAGGCTGCTGCACCGGTGAGGTAGATCAACCATGGCAGCCATCGAATAAGCCTAGCTAACTTGCCATAGGTCACGCAGATGCCATGGGTTGATTTGGTGTGGAATAAGAACCCCGTTGTCGCTCTATTCCGGGCTACACCAGCACAACCGATCTTGAACGTTGTGCTGTCAAGAATTAACGAACGACGAGAGGAGCTCTCCAATACTATGAGTACTTTAGAGAAGGTAAACGAAAAGGATTTTCTGTCTCGGTTCATGCACATCCAGTCGGACAGCGACGCTATTCCACCCTGGTGAGTGAGCCGTGGTAATAATGTCTTCCCGCTTAAGCTGACCCAACAGGGCTGTGACGGCGTGGTCATTCTCTAATGTGATTGCGGGCTCAGACACGACCGCTGTGGCCATGAAAACACTCTGGCATAACTTGCTCTTGCATCCAGTGACTATGCATCGCCTGCGCAAGGAACTTGTCCAGGCCCAACAGCAGTCGAAGCTGTCTACTCCGTTCCCGGCATGGAGCGAGATTTCCGGATTACCGTACCTCAATGCTTGTGTCAATGAAGCGCTCCGGATACATCCACCATTCTGCCTCCCTTTCGAACGAGTCGTTCCCGCAGAAGGAATGACTATCGGCGATCATTTCTTCCCCGGTGGGACAGTGATCGGGATGAACCCCTGGGTAATCAACCGCCATCGGCCAACATTCGGCGAGGATGCAGACGCCTGGAGACCTGAAAGATGGCTTGAGAATCCAGTTCGCACTCGGCAAATGGAGAACGCTCTTCTCAGTGTGAGTTCATAATGCTATTCTTGACACGAATGGAGAGTAACGGTCAACTGTCTAGTTCGGCGCTGGGAGGCGAGTATGCCTTGGCAAGAATATTGCACTGTTAGAGCTGAAGAAGCTCACTTCCGCTCTTATGCTTCATTACGAGGTCTGTAATGCATATTCACTCCCCTGGCAAAAATCGCGAAAGATGTCTAACTATGCACAGTTGGAGATCGTAAACCCGGAGAAATTCCAGTCCCAGAATTTCTTTTTCTTCAAGCAAGAAGGGCTATATGCGGCAGTCAAGAGACGGTCTGCAAGTTCGCCAGAGCTATACCCGGACGATGTGATTCATCATTAAATCTTGCCCTAGCTGGTTTTTGGCGGGCTGTGGATCGATGATAGTGGCGTGGGTCGAGAAGCTGCTGGATAGACACCGCTATTCCTGGATATGTATGTATCATACAATACCGTACAGTACACAGACGTAAAAGATTGGGCCATGATGGCGCTATGCCCGAAACAGACGCGCTAGACCAAGCTTGGCCGACCGCAGGTATTTCGGTATTGCAAAACCACCCCAAGTCGGCCAGTGACTCAATTCATCGCCACTACATCTCCCATCGAGCCTCCTCGGAGGCATTATACGTAACCTTGGAAACTGGGCTTCGTCAACGGCATTGGTTTTACTTAATTGACGACCTAGTTTGGTTGGTTCCATTGGACTTTCGTGCTTTCGAGACTCTGGATTCAGAAATTGATCACTAGGTAGACGCTCCCAGCATGTATCTACCGTTCTGGCTCGCTAAGCGTCGAAATAGAGTTGACACTCAGTCGTGTCTGAGTTTTCAGTCCATCGTACCCACAGGATTCTATTGTTTCCAGGTATCTACTTTGACTATTTCTAAACTGCTGGACAGTTGATCGTGATCTTGACCGACATTTTACGGGAGCAGCTGTAGTAAAGACTCAAGATGATAGAGACCGCCCATCCCTACGCGAAGGAGCTCGAGATTGCCTGCCTAGCGGTGCAAAGAGCTACCTTGTTGACGAAAAAGGTGCTCGATGCGGTCGACAAGGGGGCCTTGGACAAAAGCGACTCGAGCCCTGTGACCATTGCGGACTTTGCTGCCCAAGCATTGATCATTGGGGCAATCCATCGTGCGTACCCGGACGATGACATTGTGGGCGAAGAAGACTCTAAGGCTCTCCGGGCGAACGAGGCCCTGCTCGAGCGTACGTGGGAGCTCGTCTCCTCCATCCATCTCGACGATGAGACGAGTGAGGCGCTCCTTTACTCCCCGAAGGACAAGGAGGAGATGCTCGACTTAATTGATTTGGGTGCCCGCGGCACCTGTAACCGGGAGAACCGCTCGTGGGTCTTGGACCCGGTAGATGGCACTGCAACGTTTATTAATGGACAGCAGTATGCGGTCTGCCTGGCACTTGTAGAGAACGGGGTCCAAAGGCTCGGCGTCCTGGGGGCTCCCAATCTCAACCTTGAAACGGGCCGCATGCACGAGGATATTGTGGACCGGGATGGGTATGGGTCTCAACTCTTCGCCGTTGCCGGTCACGGTGCGTTCATGCGGAAGATGGGTACCGGGGCCCTCCTGCCCGCTAACCGCATCGATGCCAAGCCTCAGATCACCGACCCTAAGGATCTTGACTTGGTGGATTGCGTGGCGGCCACTTCCTCGAATATTGTTGCGCATGAACGTCTTGCGTCCCACCTTGGCGCGCCGTGGCCACACACGACGGATCTTTGGGCGGCCCAGCTGCGATATGTCGCCATTGCGGTCGGTGGCTGCAATACGTTGATCAAGATCCCACGCAACGCGTCCTATCGATCGAAAATGTGGGATCATGCAGGGGGCATGCTGATCGTGCAGGAGCTAGGATGTACCGTCAGCGACCTTGCCGGCAATCCGGTGGACTGCGGCCTCGGCAGGACCTGGCCGGGTGTTACGGAATGATAGTGGCGCCGGCTTCCATCCACGGACGGCTGGTTGAAGCCGTAAAACAGATCATGTAGAACGAATACAAATCTGATTCCTTCCGGAGTTTACGTTGGACCACTTTGGTTTCCTATTTTCTATTTTTCTCACATGCGTTTGCTGCGTGACGGTGTAGGGAAAATAAATAAATAAATAAAAAATAAGGAAAAAGAGGGATTGGCTTTGGGATGCACAGGAAACTATTACTAGTACAACTACTCGATCGAGCATGACAAGTCAGATAATTCGCACCAAACTGGAAAGTCGGAGTGTGTACCAGATCGACCGATGTGGGGCTTTGGGTTTATGCATATTTTCTCCCAATTTTCTTGATCGGATTTCATGATGGCATGATCTTTTCATGACCCGGCCCGTGACGTCATGACCCCATCTCGCCGTAAAATACCATACAATACTATACTATCCTACTGTGTATCTGGTCCTATACTATGTATGCTCTGCGCAGTGATCTGGACAAAACAAACAAGAAACAAAGAAGGAAGAGCAAGGACGGACAGAAGGACTATACCCGAATGGTTCAAGTGAGAGTCACTAAGGAAGTAAATTTACGAACGACTACTAGTTAGTACTAAATTTAGTAGTCATAGGAAGGAGTTTGGACTCTGTCCGAGTTGGTGTGGGTGAGAACGTCAGAAGATCCCGAAATGCGGGGGTACGACGATACTACGTCTGAAAGTATCAGTGACCTCGCTCCTATATATATCGAATTCTGCCACCTCCTTTCATCTCTTCTTACCCCCCGGCAGTCGTACATGCGACAACGATTATACTATTCGATACGGCTACTAATAGTAGTACGACGGTGATGGCTTCTTGTAAGTGGTGTTCCGGAGAAGGCAGCCCTCCCCCCTTCGCTAACCTACGTCACTGGTCAAGATAATCCATTCGCCCGGCAAGAGTCGCACGGATCCTATTCCCTGGGGTCCTACCGTCTGCTGGTGCCTTTGTCGTGGTTGCTGGTGGTGGTGGTCGGGATCTACTATACCGTCCATGCACCCGATGTCAAACACGGTCATGCCATCTTCAACCAGGCCAACCACCATATCACGCCTTTCAGTCAGAGCACAACGGTCACTGGCATTTACTGGTCCGTCCTATCCCTGTTCGGTTTGCTTCTTGCTTTTCCTTTTCGTTCCGAGCAGTTCTCTGTGCCAACGCTACCAACGGAAATTTCAAAATATGTAAACTAGACCACTAGACTGACCTCGATGCGGTAGGATCCTTCTCCTAATCTTCCAACTCAGCTATGTCTACCATCTTTTCCATAAAGATGCCTCGATTGTGACGGCAACCGCCAACGTGGGTGCGCATTTTATTCTGAATAACCTGTTCATCTTCGCCTGGATCCTCCTCTGGACTCGGGGCCACTTCTGGGGTTCCGAGGTTATCTTGATGGCCCACTTGGTCAATCAGCATACGGCGTACTGGCGACACCGCGCGTTGCCCCCACTGGTACATTTGTCCGCCATCGCAGGGCCCTTTGCCTGGACGCTGATGGCGCTGTTCTGGAACGGTGCCGTCGCCGTGCATAGCAACTCGCTGCCGGCGAGGATCGTCGCGAATGTCTTCATCTGGGTGATCTTCGTCATCGGGACAACCCATATTACAGTGGGGCAGGACGATCTCCTCGGCTACTGCTTGAGTTTCTTGTTTCTCGGTGAGGAACAGATGGTCTCGGAGGGTTGTTACGTGGATAAACGGCTGACCCCTATGCAGGATTGGCACTGAAGCAAATTGCCGTCAAAACCATTGCCCTGCAGTGGATTTTTGCCTTTGTGATCTTCGCGGTCTTCCTGGCGGAGTCGTTCTATATCACTGGCACGAAATATACCGGGCGCGACGTTTTGTTCCGCAAACTCACCCACCCCGAAACCGCGGATCGCGAACGAGAACCGCTGCTCAATGAGCAGTCAGAAGCGGCGGCCTGAGAATGGGTCACCCACCAAGCCCTTGGTCCCACGACGGTGCTGCCAGGAGTCATTTGAAATCGGGACCCCAAATTGACCTGTTTTGTTTTTCTGTTCGGCTGAAACTGGGCGGATGCAATCGGAATTGGACGATTGCTGCACGGAGTCTGGATCTCCACTTTTTGTTCCACTTGAATTCAGCTCCTTCGTCATGGCTTGCGCTGGAAATTGATCGACTCCAAATCAGGAGTGCTGTAATATGTGATGGTGAATGTTGAATTAACTAGTTTCGTGGATCTGGCATGAGGTTGTTTGATTTATCTATCTATCTACTCATCTACTCATCTATCTATTTAATCTACTACTGATTTAGTTGTGGTCACTGCCGCCGCTAAAGCATTTCAATCTAATCAGGTGCTCCACCCGTGATGGGTTTGGGTCTTGTAACAAGTCGATTCCATCGGTCGACGGTGATCGAGACTAGCATAACTTGCATAAGGGATTCATGGAACGGCGACACGGTAACTGGAGTTAATCTCAGTACTGTGCCAATGTCTCGGAGTGGGCGGAAGGGCACAGGGGATGTTTTGGCGACTCCACTGCAAGGAGACTTTGGCTCCTACCAGCACCCGTTGCCTGGGCGACGGCAGCGCCTCCACGTTGCTCCATTCACTGCGATCAGACTAAAAGGCCGGTATCCATGGGAAAGTCGCCAGGTACGGAGCCTGGATTTAATTGACTAAATTTCTCCCTCCTTTGACGCGTGTGATATTGATGTCTGCACCGCGATCGTGGTTTGTTTATGAACAAGCTAGCACCCGACTGAATCACCATTCTGGAGAAAGCTTCGCATATCGACCTGCCGCTCAGTGACTTCGCAAGTCTTATCGTGACGGTTTGAAACATTCCGGGTTTGTTTACGTTCGCTGAAGCAAGACACAGAAAGTTTCCTCCTGTGAGTTACATTCTTGAACCACCATTTGAAGTAACCGACATTGCAGAGCCATCGGAACTGACGACTGGTTGCTACCCATACCCCAGATTATTGCAGCGCCCTCCAATTGACCTTTACCCTGTGATCGGGGTGCTGTCGCTGTACGGCAGACACGTTCCGAGTCCCCACACGCCCCCTTCGCTATCGATTGATCATGAGAATCTGACCCCGCAGCGTCTGCAATCATGAATCCCAACTCGTCGCACATGTATCCGCCGGCGGCGAACTATGAGGAAGAGCCCCCGGCATACGGCTATGGAGGCTCGTACCTCCCCGAGCACGAATCCCCTCGTCACGCCGCGCCGACCATGCGACTGCTGCCCACGAGTACTACGACGGTAGATGATGACTTCCGGGAAAACGTGGGAAATACCTCGGCCTACCATTACGGCGAGGCGTATGAAGAAGACGAAGATTCGCCGTAAGTAATGCACCTGTCATGTTCTGCCCACATACCGATGACTGCATTGGCATCTGGCCCAACGGTTCGGTTGCCCAGTTCCCTCCCCCTTGTTTGTGTCGAGCCAATGATGGCTCTGGGTGCAATCATTGCAAGTCGTCCGCTGGGGAAACAAGACAAGCCACTGGTAAACCTGTTCCCGCAAAGCAGATGATATATGCACGATTGCCCCTCTGTTGTCTTCCTTCCTGAACAAGGTCGAAGGACTCCATGCCCGAGTCCCAGACTAGTCCCCGAGGACAATGGCACGACAGAGAAGAAAGAGATTTAACGCTCGCATCCCTCGTAATAGGACGGACCACCCGAGGCAAGTTTCAAACCGATACTATCAGTATGCAACGGAGGATGCGCCGTCACGACCAGCTTCCAGCATGCGAAATGCTCCCAACATCCCGCCACCCGCGACGTCGGTAGTCGATGTGCCCGAGTACTCACCACGTTCTGGTTCTCCAACCCGACCTTGGTCTCCCGGCCACGTGGGCGACTGGGCTAGGGCCCCAAGACCCCCCTCTGTTATGAGCTCGCAGTATGAGCGAGCCGACCTTAATGGCAGCCCACGCCCGGGTACGCCAAGTTCGAGATATGGAGGCAGTCCACGACGACCGTTGCCACCAGCTCCGTTGTTCACGGCTCCGCGATCTACGATGGGTGAGCAGGATACGAGCATCGACATCGGCGATCCGGACGACGACGTGTTCGGTGGTGGCGGAAGGACGATTAATCGTCATGGCCAACATGGCAGTGTTCATTCCTTCATGAGCGAATCGACCGTGATCACGGACGAAAAAGAAGCGATGAACAAGATTGATCTAGATGAAGATGACGAAGCGACGGGAATGGTGGATCCGAACCTGCATTACGGGCCTGCCCCAGAGAAGCAGAGTCGTCGAGGCGTTCGCGAAGCCCAGATGATCAAGAAAGAAGTCCAGCTGGTCAACGGTGAACTGATCCTGGAGTGCAAGATTCCGACCATTCTCCATAGTTTTTTGCCGCGTCGAGACGACCGAGAATTTACCCATATGCGGTATACTGCCGTGACCTGCGACCCCGACGACTTTACGCAGCGAGGATACAAATTGCGACAGCAAATCGGCACAACCATGCGTGAAACGGAACTGTTTATCTGTGTGACCATGTACAACGAGGACGAGATCTGTTTTACACGGACTATGCACGGCGTTATGCGCAATATCAGTCATCTTTGCTCGCGCTCAAAGTCGCGAACATGGGGCAAAGACGGGTGGAAGAAGATTGTGGTTTGTATTATTGCAGACGGCCGTAAAAAGTCCATCCGAGGACCCTTAACGCGCTGGCGGCTCTTGGTGTATACCAGGAAGGTATCGCCAAGAACATCGTCAACCAGAAGCAAGTCAATGCACACGTCTACGAGTACACCACTCAAGTATCTCTCGACCCTGACTTGAAGTTCAAGGGCGCCGAGAAGGGTATCATGCCGTGCCAGGTCATCTTCTGCCTGAAGGAACATAACAAAAAGAAGCTTAACTCGCATCGTTGGTTCTTCAACGCCTTTGGTCGCGCCCTCCAACCGAACATCTGTATCCTCCTGGATGTTGGCACTAAGCCTTCACCTACTGCCCTGTACCACTTATGGAAAGCGTTCGATCAGGATTCCAACGTTGCCGGAGCCGCTGGTGAGATCAAAGCAGGAAAAGGCAAGGGCATGCTGGGTCTTCTGAACCCTCTGATTGCAAGTCAAAACTTCGAATACAAGATGTCGAACATTCTGGACAAGCCTCTGGAGTCCGTGTTTGGATACATTACCGTGCTACCTGGTGCGCTGAGTGCCTATCGCTTTTTCGCGCTGCAGAACGATGCCGAGGGTAACGGCCCGTTGAACCAGTACTTCAAGGGAGAGACGCTACACGGAAAGGATGCGGATGTGTTCACGGCAAACATGTACCTCGCCGAAGATCGTATCTTGTGCTGGGAGCTGGTAGCCAAGCGAGAAGAAAGATGGGTCCTGCGATTCGTCAAGAGCGCGGTGGGAGAAACTGACGTTCCCGACAATGTCCCGGAGTTCATCTCGCAACGAAGACGATGGCTGAACGGTGCTTTCTTCGCCGCTGTGTACTCCATCGTCAACGGAAAGCAGCTCTGGAAGACGGACCATTCCCTGCCGCGAAAGATTCTCCTCCAGATCGAAGCCGTCTACCAATTTGTCCAGCTTCTTTTCACGTATTTTGGATTGGTGAGTTGCCTATGATCTGAGTGTGATTGGGGGGCTATACTGACTTCATGCCAGGCCAACTTCTACCTGGCGTTTTTCTTCATCGCCGGGTCACTATCGGACCCAAAGATCGATCCCTTCGGTCATAACATGGGCAAATGGATCTTCATCATCCTGCGATATGCCTGTGTATTGGTCATGTGTCTGCAGTTCATTATCTCCATGGGTAACCGTCCGCAAGGGTGAGTGATCGTGTCCGGATTGCACGGGCGTCCTCCGCTAACTGTTCACAGAGCCAAGAAGTTGTATCTCTCAGGAATGATCGTGTACAGCATCATCATGGTGTATACCATTTTCTGTACGCTCTACCTGGTTATTCTGGAGCTGATCGCGAAAACGGGAGGGGATGTAGATCTCCCCGTGAGCGACGGGCTCTTCATCAACATCGTGGTTTCCCTACTCTCGAGTGTCGGTCTCTACTTCTTCTCCTCATTCCTCTACCTGGACCCGTGGCACATGTTCACGTCGTCGGCGCAGTACTTCGCTCTCTTGCCCAGCTACATCTGCACGCTGCAAGTGTATGCGTTTTGCAATACACACGACGTCACATGGGGTACGAAAGGAGACAACGTGATCAACACCGACCTGGGTGCGGCGCGCATCATCAACGGGTCGATCGTCGAAGTCGAAATGCCTTCGGAGCAGCTGGATATTGATAGTGGCTATGACGCCGCACTGCGCAGTCTTCGTGATCGGGAGGAAGTGCCCGAGCCCCCGGTCCCGGAGAGTCAGCTGCAAGAAGACTACTACCGCGCGGTCCGTACCTACATGGTCTCCATCTGGATGGTTGCCAACGTGATCCTCGCCATGGCGGTCTCCGAGGTCTACGGAGTGGACTCGGGCGGCACCAACATCTACCTCGCCATCATCCTGTGGTCCGTGACCGGCCTGGCGCTGATCCGTGTGATCGGCTCGACGACGTACGCTATTCTGCACGTGGTCCAGAAGCTCGTGGAAGGGAAAGCCAAGTTCGACGCGGGCAATCTGGCCCATGGCACTGGCAGCGCGACGTCCAGTGCGGTCAACGGCAGCACGGTGCAGTATGGCGGCGGCGGCACGTTCCGGGATAAGTTCACCGAGGCGAAATGGGGCATGAAGCAGCAGGTGGGGAAGGTAATGTTCTGGCGGAAATGATTTTTTTTCTTATGTTTTCTCTTAATGCTTTTGCCATGATTTTCTCATGAAAATATTTGTCATGTTCACGGTTACGCGTTGTATGTACTGATTGATGATGGACCGACCCATGGATGGGTATAATGATGTAAATGCAGCTCTTCTATTCTCTTAATCATGAATCGAGCATGGATGTTTCCTTGTCTTCAGAATATCCACAACCACAGCATGGGGATGACTTGGACTAGGTCATCAGTAGTCAGTCAATTAAGCTCTCAGTAGTGATTGACTTGAGAGTCCATTATCTGATCATTCACAATCGAGCCCTTCCTCCCTCCGACCCCCGAACCACCTCCTCAACCACTTTCGCCGCTGCGATGGTCTCCTCGTCTTTGAAATGTCCCCCGACCATCTGCAAGCCCACAGGAGCCCCTACAAACCGACCAGGATCCACCCACCACTTCCTCCACTCCCTCTCCTCCACCTCGTTCCTCGCCACCCAGCCCTCCTTGCCCCCGACATCCCCTTCCTCAACCGCCATCCCGGAAGGAAACACCACCGCCGGCAGATCGAGGACATTCCACACAGCCGTGTAGTTCCAATACTGCGCCTCATACAAGTCAGGCGCAACGCCCACATAGGCCGGACACAGAATGAAATCCACATCCATGGCTTTCATCCGCGCATGGTATTCGTCTCTGTATTCGTCGCGGGCGACGTTCAAGGCCCAGGCTTCGGCGATGGATAATGGCGTCGGGTGCGCGTAGGAAAAGGCCCATTCTGTTAGTGGCAGGATTGGTTCGTTGGTTTGCGACAGGAGGGTTTTTTGCGAGCTTGCTGTGTCGGGGAAGTAGAGTTTCGACTAGGGGGTTTCTTTAGTTTGTGTTTTGAAAGGGGGGGGGAGAGAGGGAGACATACGATTATGTCCCAGCCGTGGGCGTGCTTATAAGGATCCCAGTCTACGACTTTGATGCCGGCTGCTTGCAGTTTGGATCTGGCAGCTTTGAGTGCTCGAATGATCGGCGGATGCGGACGGACCGTCCTGTTTTCTCGTTAGCAGGGTGGCATTTCCATGTGCTGAAACATTTGAGGATAGAATGCAGAAGGGAGAGATGTGTACCCGTCATCCCACATGATTCCCACGGTGAACTCTCTGTTCTCCTTCACCCTCCTCCATGGAAGAGGAACCAAGGAGGTCTCGACATCCCACGGCTCTGCATCGAGAACCACCCTCTGGAACAGCTCCAGATCATCCAGACTCTGCGCCGCCAGCGGTCCCACAACGCCTAGGATGGCCTCCTGGCCGGGCTCGGGCGCCTTAATCCCCGAACAGGGTTCCGCCGCATGGTTGGCCGGAACCCATATGCATTGCAGAAGGCCGCGGGGGCACGGATCGAACCCCCGATATCCGTGCCTACGCCTAGCGGGGCGCATTTGAAGCCCATTGACGCGCCTTCTCCGCCGGACGAGCCGCCCGGCGTGAGGGTGCGATTGTAGGGGTTTGTCGTCGTGCCGGTGAGGTTGTTGCTGCAGCAGAGGTGCTGTTTTAGTTAGATGTGTTGCTGCATGGCTGGGGACGCTGGGAGTTCATACCATGAGCGACTGAGGTTGGTTTGTCCGAACGTGGAAAATAGCGCCTGCTTTGTGAAGACATTGTAGGATGAGGGCGTCTTCTGGCGCGATGTCGTTTACCCTGTGCTTGTTAATGGATTTCGTTTGCAATAGGTAATGCACTCACCATGCTACGTAGCCGCCATTGCAGGTCAGGCCCTTGATGCCGATATGTTCTTTCACGCTGATTGGGACTCCGTGCTGTGGATGTTAACCTTTAGTCTGTCATAGTATCTAACTAACCCGTAGACATACCAAGGGACCAACTAACTTCCCTGTGCGCCGGTAGTACGCATCCAGCTCTTTGGCCCTAGCAATGGCTTTGTCTGCCATGAACTCCGTCGCGAAGTTCAGCTGTCCTCATCAGCACATCTATGTCATAAAAGCTCAGCTGATAATGCATACCAACTGATGCCCCAGAACAGCCCTCTTCAAGAACGCAACCACCACCTCTTCGGCACTGAATCGTCCAGCCCCCATCCCGGCAACCAGGGCTGTGGCAGACATCTCCGTGATCGACAGTTCCCTGTCGGTCAACAGTCCGCTGGCTCTGGGGAAATCAGCGACGTTCTTCTGGTCGGATGGAGGCAGTTTGTCTTCGGGGAGAAGCCATTGCGTCGGGATGGAGCTTTGCAGAGTGGTTTTGGCCTTAAGGGCTTCCGTTTGCCAGGTCGACATGGTTTGACGTCGTTAGATAGATTACTCGGGGTGGAGATGAGGGTGAGAGACCGATGGCATCCCAGGGGAGGAATGTCCCTTTTATCCTCCTCACCTTTCTCCTCATTCCAAGCTCCATGCGGGCTAATGGAGACATGTAACTTGTTCTGGTCGGAGACGGAATTATGGTCCAATGAGAAGGGAAGGGTTGATATAGAAGGGGAATCCCCGCAGACGAAAAGAGTTTCGATGATAGTGGAGAAGCTTCTTATCTCTGGACCCAACTCGAGATTGACTCCTGGGCTGCCGTCACTCTGGACATTCGGTTGGACATTCGGTTGTGAGCGGAATTGGTTCCGCCATTCTTCATGACTTTCATTTTCATTTCATGACTAACGGATTCTATGCCTCGCGTGTGTTGCTGGTCCTCGTCTATATACGCATGCTAAATAACAAGATTCGAAATACTCGCGTCAAGATCGTGAGATGTAATGTGGTTGCCCCAGAACCTCAGGCCTTCGATGCCCTCCTCTCGGCACAGGATGCCGCGATCCTCTGCCATCTCCAGCTCTTCGGCCGCAACCCCGACGCTCCATTTGAACCGCTGTGCTGCCTCCTGCGCGGTAATCGCACGCCCAAACTGGCGCCAATCCCACGGTGCTGGCTCATCCGGGGGAATCTGTTGGAGCTCTAGGAGCCAGTCTTGCAGCTGCTGAATGGTCTTCTCGTCACTCCAATCGTACCGCTGGACGACGAGCAGGCCACTCTTGAACCGGCGCAGGCGGACGGGTAGTCGTAATGATTCCCACAACTCGGCTGCCTTCTGGAAATCAGCAGGGCTCACCAGCTCGACTCCGTTTCGAGACCGATTGAAGAGGGCCCAGAGATCGATCAGGCTTATAATCCCGCCTTCCTTCTGCAGGATACCCCTCGTATCGTCGGTCAGGTACTCCGCGAGGTTCCGAGAGAGTTCCGAGAGGTACAAGTTTTCCGAGCCTGAGCTCAGCATATCCTTCGTCGTAACCATGCCCAGAGCTGCAGCCGATTCCGAGAGAACCGCACTAGTTTCGCTCGAAGTCTCGTCCCCCATACCGGACTCTCTGGCCAGAGTTTCCGCCAGCGTGACGATTTGCTTCGCCGAGGCCATCAGTGCTTCGAGGTCTTCGAATGCGTTGCCGATCACAACCTCATTGTTGCGGCGAGCTTCCAGTCCCCGCTGCTCTAGGCCTGCAATCCCAGGAGCTGGGGACCGAGCTGGCGTAGACACCAATCCATTCGTAGGTAACGTTGTATTTGGCGATGGCTGTTGTGGGACGGGCGGGGCATTGTAGAGTAGCCACTTTCTCTGGACTAATGCACCTTTGAGCCGCTCGTAGAAGGTCTTCTCACCACCTCCTCGGAAGGATAATTTGATGTTGTCCGAGATCTCCGTGTTTTTAATACTCCCCTGCAGTTGAATGAGGGGCGCTGGTGATTCAGCGCGATGCGGGTTGCTATTGGGAGTCTCCAACAGACTCGACAATGAAGCACCACATATTTCACACTCGTGGAGAGACGGATGATTCACAAAGGTGCACCTTGGACATGAGATTAGAGCCTGTGTTGTATCCTGACCACCGCCTTGAGGCGCTGAGAGTATGGACGTTCCCTCATGGGAGGATGCCGCAGCGGCAATGGCCGCCTTTAACACCGTTGTGAACGGGGGCTTGATGCCGCAAGCCAGACAAGGCGGTATGTTTGTCGCCGTCGCCGTGGAAGGGTCGAAGTTTGAAGGGATGGGATTGGAGAACGTGCAGATCGGGCAGATCCATGTGGCATTCACCAATGTTGATGCTGATGGTTTCACTAATGGTGCAGAGTTTTGTACCCGAGGAGACTGCGACCTGGATAGACTGGTGCCTTTCGAACTGGAGCTGTTCTTGGGTGGTTTGGGGTGCAGTGTAATCTTAGGGGAGGATTTGAGAAAGCCTGCCTAATATTCGGGTATAGATAAGTACTAGACCAGACTAGAAATCCAAGAGTGAGACATTTCATACTTGGTACTCGGCTCGATCGATGTCTCTCAAGTCGATCGCGACGGAGTGTTTGCGTGGTTCCTCCAACGCAACATAACAGACACGGTGGGATGTGAGGTATGCATGGCCATCCTGATAATGTGGGATCTTGTATTTGCTACTCGCATAGATATCAATCAGTACCGCTACAGGGCCGGTGGAACCCACAGTCACTCACCCCTCGTACAACCCCACCGCATCCTGGACGAAGAGCAGAGTCTCATCGGGCAACAGCGAGGGACGAAGTGCTGTACTGAGATCCAAAGGCTTGAAGAGCATTTAGTAGATCGACCAGCATCCCTCTTCTGACTGAAAAGAACTTGAGAAGAGGGGAACGAATGACTTGAACGTCTATCTTGTCGGAGGAGGAGATCGTACAGTAAGTATTGATGTCAGTGCCCTGATCCGGAAGGCGGTCAGAGACACCCGCGCCAAGCATCTCCACCACGAAACGTAAGCGAAAAAGGAACGTCTGGATATTCCATCTCGACCTCATCTGGCGCCCGATCACTGACTTTACTCCCTCTTCAGCCTCTACCTCTACGCAAACACTTTGTCTTCTTGCCTCACCTTTCTTTTCTTTTTCTTCTTCTTCTTCTCCTTCCTTCTATTATTTTCTTCCCAGTGTCCCCTTGTGTAGGAGTGTTCTAAAGCATTTCCCGGTCACATCAGAATCCCGTAGTTTTTTATACATTTTCAAACCATCACTTATCTTCTCTTCCCTTACTGCCCGCTTGCTTAGACTTCTTTCTCAATAATGAGTTCGGGCATTCCACCCTGGCGTGTGTCTGCGTCAGCCACCGCAACCGCTCAAACATATCCCACACATGGTATGATTCCCTCTCACTTGCTCATGTGGCCAAGGTTGGTTAACCCGTATGATAGCGACCCCTGCGTACATCCCAGTTCAAGCACGCCGTAGCCTTGCCCATACAACCGTGGCGAGTCCCATCCCAGCCCCAGCGTCGCAGCCGTCGGATGCCGAAGCCGCTCGCAAACGAGTAGAATGGCCAGCCCCAGTTCGCTTGTATGTACAACGAAGTTTTGCTCCGGAACATCAGATGTCCTCCGTTAGCAGAGAGGAAATGGAGTCGAAGTTAAAGGCCGTCATTACTGAGGCTGCAGAGAATAACAAGTTGGATAAGATTGACTGGACGAGCCTGCCATTACCCCAGGTCATGGTCCAGAACGAGCGCAACCGGATCCTGGCCAGCCCAAACGTGCCGGCTTGGAGCGCCGTTCCTACCCAGAAGTATGAGAGCTCCTCCGACGCCTCGTCAAAGAAACGGAAGTCGGTTGAGTACAACGGGGACGCAAACAGCTGTCCCCCGTGGAGACAAACTAACAATCACAATGCATTTGAAGACCGAATCACTTATTCCCCCACAGACAAACGCCAACGGATAGATCATAAGAACACAAGTAAGTCCAAAGCTAATCTGGAACTGCGGAGAAAACGGTTCGAGGACCCACGGGCTCGAACTGGTTCCTCGCCATCGTCGCGCGATGATTCCCCTTCTCCCAGTGCCAACCAGGGCCCTGTCGTCGGACGGTGCCAGGATCTGGAGAAAAACTATTTTCGTCTGACATCAGCGCCGAACCCGGATACCGTCCGCCCTCTGCCGGTTCTGGTCAAGACACTGGATCTGCTGAAGAAGAAGTGGAAGAGAGACAACAACTATAACTATATCTGCGATCAGTTCAAGTCGCTGCGGCAAGATTTGACTGTGCAGCACATTAGGAATGAGTTTACTGTCAGTGTCTACGAGATTCACGCGCGCATTGCTCTGGAGAAAGGAGATCTTGGTGAGTATAATCAGTGTCAGACTCAGCTGCGCGCGCTGTATGCCCAGCAACTTGGGGGCCACCCTACGGAGTTCAAGGCGTATCGTATTCTGTATTTCATCCATACCCGCAATTGGACGGCCATGAACGATGCCCTGGCCGATCTAACAGCAGCAGACAAGCGAGATCCTGCTGTCAAACATGCCTTAGACGTTCGCTCGGCTCTTGCGCTTGGAAACTACCACCGTTTCTTTCAACTGTACCTGGACACCCCGAACATGGGAGCCTACCTGATGGACATGTTCGTGGATCGAGAACGACTGTCCGCACTGACCGCCATCTGTAAAGCGTACGTGTTCGCCCGTCGACCATCTACCATATGCACGCTGACCACTTGATCACAGTTACAAGCCCGATGTAAACATTCGTTTCATTACTGAAGAACTTGGTTTCGAGTCTGACGAGCAGAGCGCACACTTCATCCTGGATCATACCTCGGAGGACTTGCTCCAGGAAAAAGATGGAGCCGTGAGGCTGCTTACCGGAGCAAAAGCCGCACAGCTTTTCGAGGCTGCCAAGGCTGATGCTCATCGGATTGTCGACATCAAGGGTCAGATATGAAATCCTTGAATAGCCCATAGGACACACAAGGGGAGACGGCCTGTCAATCACCCCATATCCACTTCTTTCCATACCTGCAATCGGTGGTTCTCATTTTCCTTCTTTTCACCTGTTCTGGGTTTCTTTCCCCCCTTCTTTTTTTTCTATCTATCATTGTTCGGCTCTTCTTTTTGGAGCGTCGGTGCGTCTCTATTTTACAGCTTCAGGAGATCTATACCCATTTCGACCGCAAAAGCGTTGGTAGTGTTGCTGAATTCGATTAGGCGATCTTGTTCTTTGGGCAGGAGCTGGAGGGAACGGATGATTTCTGGCACTGAATTTGATTAGTCCATAGCAATCCACATAAATAGCAAGGTGATTAGTGTGTATAACTTCCCGGGTGCAAGCCACGAGGGTCCACACCGTATGCACATAGATAGGACGTAATAGTACCTAGTAGATGATAAGATCGGGTAAATGTCTCTTTCCATCAAGGACTGTGGAGGTGGCCCCACCGGGTGAGGGAGTGGGCCGCCGAATGTTTGGTCCGTCGGTTCCCCGAGAACATTACTCGGTAAACGC